TGCACTATACTGCAATGTTATATGAAAAGAGTGGAGATTATAGAGTTAGTATAATAACAGATTTACATAATGTATAATTTTATTCTACTAAAAAAATTAAATCTAAATTCCAAGTTCTGTAAAAGAATTCTGATAATGAATAGAAGTGTTAATTAGCTATTGATGCGAAATATTTTATTATTGGTAATAAACTTATTTCATATCAAAGACATGGGTAATGAACAAGATAAAATGAACACAAAGGTAAAGCTTTTAAAATTGCACTGTCTATTTACTTGGAAATATTGGACAGTTCATAAACATCATAAAAGGTTCAATATTTTATATTATAAGCAAATATATAATAAACTGCAAATATTGATTTATTGGGAAAATATATTTTTTATTATATTCTTTTATTTGTGCATGCAGATTCATTCTTATTAATTAATATCTCAGTAGTTTAATGTTTAATATTATCTCTTTTATTTTTGAAAATGTTATACGTTGCATTTTTTAGGAAGCTCTTAAATATTATAAAATGGCTGCAGAATGTAATAATTTGGTAGCAGAGCTTTCTTACATCGAATATGGTTGGAAAGTAAGAGAGCTAGAACCACTACCACATTTGTTGCAAATGTTGAAGAAATATGAGCAGACAGTTAAAGAACGGAAAATAAATATACTTCTTGCGATTGCGGTAACTTATTATTCTCTTCAGGAAGATATACCAAATGCAGCAGAATATTTTTTAAAAGCTCTAAAAGTAGATGCATTGAACAACAAATTCAAGGTATTTTAATATATTAAAAATTATATTAATATATACGTATATGTGTTTATATTATATGTTCCGATATATATTATATATTAGGGTGGAGCGATTTCTGACCCCCTGTTGTTCTTGTATTTTCGGAAAGGGCATAAAAAATGATGAATTTTTTTTTATGACAACGAAGTGTCACATTAAAATTGTCACCGAGACAGCACATCGTGTGTCCCCAAGCAAACGCGATGGAATGGCATTTTCTATAATCAAATCTCGGCTTAAAAGGCCGAGAACTGAAACAAAAAAAGATTTTCAACAATAAATTATTTTTAAGAAACAATTGTTATGTATACCATAATAAACCGATGATTAATTAAAATAAAATAAAAATGAAAAAGATGTTTTTCGATTTTTTAGGAGGGATAGATATTCATTAAAAAATTTCTGCTTGTCACCAAAATTCATCATTTTTTATGTCCTTTCCGAAAATACATGAACAACAGATCAGAAATCGTTCCACTCTAATATATATATATAGGTACATATATAATAGTTTATAGTCTATCTATTATTGTGTATTTTATAATTTTTATATATTTTTCGATGTATTAGTGTGTATGTGTGCGTATATGTAACTATTATAAGTTACTTAATTAGAATTGCAGCTCTTATGTCTTTAAAGACAAATAAAAATAGATTAAAAAATTGAATGGTGTAATAAAAATTTCATATAGATTCACTTTTTTTGTAAGGATGCACTAAAAAAATTGCATGTTCTTTTAAATAAAACTATATTTTCTTTTTTATTTAAATCTTACAAATATATTTTGCGTATAAAAATATAAAAATTAATAACTTACAAAGTATTTGTAAGTTATTATTATTTTAACATATTTAGCATAAATGTAAGATATCTTGTAAATTATTTACTTTTTATCATATTGTTGCACCCGTGGTGTTGCGCCCATATATGTGTCGGCGACATTTTCGCGCCGACCGATATCGATCGCGAAAGCGGATAAGAGAGGATTGTCCTCTCAGTTACGGTTGTTATCGGGCTATCCTTGATTTTGACAGCTGGAACGTTCTGTATTATAATTAATAAAGTTCCTTTTAATTACAACATCTCTGAGTTCATTACGCGAGTGTGGGAGTGCGCGAGAGTCTTTATAGTGCATGCCGCGAGTGCCGCTCTGCGACGAGCGTAACAGTATATATTTATTTTAATGTAAATATTAAAATCACTTGATATGAAGACATATAAATTGCTTTTAAACAAAAAAGTAATTTACAATTATGCAATTACATATTTTTTAAAAGGCAATTTTTATATTTATCGTAATTCTGTATATAAAAATATTAAAATAATTAAAAAATAAATATTTTTTAAAAGATATTTTGTATTTTTGACAGATTAAAGCAATGGCAAATTAAAATATAAGATATTTCAATTAATTAAATCATTCAATTTTTGCACTAGTAAAAAAAGGATAGGAAAATAATATTTGTTGTACCAAATTTTTCTGTATTTCTTCTATTTATGCGTCCATACGCGAGTGTATGTGCGTATATGTATACATATATACGCATAACATATACACATCAGTTGAAAAGAAATATTTTTCTTTAATTAGGTAAAATACATGTGACTTAGCACAAGTTTAAAAACTCAATGACATTGTTTTTTTTGAATTATTAAAATTTTTGTTTTCTAGATATTTTATAAATTTCTTAACTTCAAGACCCCGAGTATTTCATTTTTTTTAAATGATTATTTTTGTCCTCGTCTCGAGAAACAATATTCAAAAACACATAAAAAAATGTGTGAAGAAATAAAAAACCTCTTGAACGTAAAGGATGTACATGACTTAACGGAAAAACTATGTACCTTATCTGTGGATATCAAAGAAAAGGATACTTAAATATCCGTTAAAATTATCGAAGTTTTTGTAAGTTATAATTATCTTAAATATGTTAATTCTGTATTTAGATATCAATTATAACTATATATTCAGAATTGGTCAATGATTTTCATAATGAATGGACTATAAAACTTATATAATTTTATATATTAAAACCATAATAATATGAGTAGTGTATGTATTTAATAATAATATGTGTTTGATAATAATCACAGACTACCAACTGATTTCTAGATTTGCCTGACCGATGAATCTATTGCCGTTTTCCTTTGGCTGCACTAGTGCAACTCTCAAAGTGCCTTTTCATACGCAGCACGCAGCAGCAGCAAAATGTCACGTGATTCAAATTTTTCAGAATCATTTCCACCATATATGTTGCGCATGAAAAGGAATTTTGCAGCAACATATTGAAGTTTAACATTAATTTATAATATAATATAAATATAAGTATCTCTGGCTATTAAAGACAGGAAAGGTTTAAAAAAGTATGTGTAGAAAAAATCAAATTTAACGTCCACTATAACATTATATAATATTATATATAATATATTACACAATGTTTATCTTTTTATCTTATCTTTAAAAAGGACTTTATTATTAATAAGAACTATTCACATAATTATAATATATATGTAATATATGTTTATATGTATATATATGTAATATATATATGTAATACCTATATATTTTTAAGTTTGAGACTTTTATTCTTATAAACATATTACATTACATCAACTCATTATATCTATAATAATTATCAAAGAGGTTTCGATTGGTATATATTACATTGTTACTACATGAGTAATCGAAGTTAGTCAATAATTATTTTATTGTTCATTGAAGTTTTACCAAAACAGGGTACAGTCCATTAGGATAAGTACCGTAGTAACTGACATTAGATAAAGCAAGAAATTATTTGTTCTTTTGTATGTACATTAGTTATTAAATATCTGGCAATACATAATTGCGTTTCTTTTATCACCACGTAGTAAACAAATATTATGTAAAATGCAACAAGCATGAATAATATACTTGGGAAGTCTGTTTTTTGCATAGGAAGTATGGAAAGAAGTGGAATTATGAAATAATTTCTATTCTTGCTGATAAAGAACACTAAAGTTGCTGATAGATGGCTGCGTTCCAATATTTCGTGCCAGTACTATAAGTACATACTGTAGATACCGTTCCGTTATTACAGCGCTATGTACGGAAAAATCAGCCTCAGTAATAACGGAACGTTCTTAAAGCTCTACTAAATTACGTCAGAGCGTCAGTACTTACAGTGAATATCGGAACGCACCCAAAGTACACTTCAAGCCATTCAACTTTGATCTAGAACACTTTTTTCTCTCATAGTTTCGACGATATTCACGTCGAAAGAAAAAAACCGATTTTTTTTCAAGGGGTGATTTCATCCCTTTAAAACGGAATAGAGCACCAACAAAAAATAGTTTCGTACTACGGATGAACTACTCTACTTTTACACAAAG